CACCGTGGGCGTGGGTGGCCTGGGTACAGAGTGCAGCGGGCACAGTTGCTGTCAGCCACCCACCTTCCGGCCCCTCCCAGGGCTGTTCCTGGCTCCTCCTGGGCCTGCCCCCAGGTGGGGACACCCTGGACTGTGCCCAACTTCCGGGTGGCCTTGGGTGAGTCACCATCTCTCAGGGTCTTGGCTGCTCTGTCCATAAAGTGGGGGCTACCGACTCACAGGGCAGGCGGACGAGGGATGCACTGAGATGGGGGGGGCGTCACTGAGTCTCTTGGCCAGACCTCACACCAGCCTGGTCTGGGAGCAGGCGTGGCACGAGCCCCCCCACCAGGGCCGGCTCGGCCACAGAGTTCAAACGCCTGCTTGAGGTTAAAGCAAAAACCCCGCCGGCTCGTCTGGTCCTCCGCAGGCTCCCAGCCGTGTGTCTGGGGCGACGGGTACGATGGGCACAGGGACGGGAGGGGCTCAGCCCTTCCCCCAGCAAGGTACAAAGCCCAGCTTTCCCTGAGGACCCATCTGCAAAAGAGGCCGGTCCCACACACAGGACCGCGGGGCAAGGCCTGGTGCATCCCGGTTCCTGAGGAGAGAAGCCGTGTCCCAGGGAACACACGGCCACCGGGGCAGGACCCTCGTGGATGACAGGGAGACCACCAGCTCCACAGAAACGCTGCCACCCAGACCCCCATGAATGCACAACCCGCTGCCTCCGCTGTGGCCCTGAGGGACCCACGTCGGGCTGGTCCCCTGCAGACCTGTGGAGACGTCAGCCCAGAGACAGGGGGAGGTCGAATCCCACTTCGTTCCCGAGCCCCCACCACAGAGCCTCTGTTCCCTTCTCTGCAAACGGAGGCCGCCCAGGGAGGCCCGAGGTGGAGGCGGAATCTTGGGCTACTCATGGCACCCCAGGATGCGCAGAGACGGGGAAGACAGAGACCCAAAGAGACTGTGAGACACAGAGACCATGGAGCCTCGGCAGAAACATCCTCCCCACCACAGGAGCTGCCTCGGTTTCCCCTCTGGGGAGGGGACGCTAAACCCCTGGGACCACCCTCGGGCCTTTGCCCGTCCACACCAGGCCCTATCAGAGGAGCTGCACCCTCTGCAGGGCTCTGTCACCCCTGCTTCACGGAGCAGGCCTAGGGGCTCCAGGCTGCTGAGCCACCTGCCCGACATCACGCCCAGAGAGTCTTGGCACCCCACGGCCTCCAGGACCCCATCCTCAGGCCCCGAACCCCCCAGGCCCACCGCCCGGCTCTCCTAGCCACCCCAGTGCCAAGTGGACCAGCTTCTCTCAAATAGAACAAAAAACCCTGATGCAGCAAAACACAGCATCACCCCCTTCAAAGCCGCCTCCCCCAGAGGCCGAGGGACACCAGTGGAGCCACGGGGAGCAGGACGCCACATTCACCTTGGCCCTCTGCCGGCGGGCAGCTCCTCCCTCGGGGACCGAGCCCTCGCCCAGGTCACCATTTTCCAACTGGTGTTTGAGGGGAGCCTAGCTGCTGTCCACACCCGACGGCCACTGGGTCCGTGGGGAACCCCAGGAGGGTGGCCGAAGCCCAGAGATGCCCGGTGCGGGCAGGCGCCCACCCAGTGCCCGCAACCCAGTTCACATGGCTACAGATTTCCAATAAGAAGGTGAAGACTCCTGGGGACCGCAGGCCCCTGTGTCCACCCCGCTCTGAGGTTCAACGGCCGTCTGCACTTGGGCCCTGGTCCCATCCCCAGGGAAGGAGAGGGAGGGCCAGCAGCGGGGTTGCTGTGGACTGGGCCAGGGCCACCACTGCCCCCACACTGCAAGCCCTCTGACAGCCAGTGCTGCCCCCAGGCAGACACGCTTACATGCACCCCACACACAGACACGTACACACACCTGCACTCCATGCACAGACAAAATGCATGCATGCCACAGGCAGACACGCACAGGGACCTCGGACACTGCAGACGTTCTGTGCACGGGCACGCACATGCAAACACGGGTGCCACACACAGGCACACTCATGCACACACACGTACCTCATATGCAATCACACAGACACGTGCAAACACGCCAGAGCCGTGCCCTGTGGCTTCACGCAGCCTCCTGCCACACACAGACACATGTAACCTGCAGCCGGATATGACTCCAAGGCATACCTGCACACCACCTCCTCCCCTGCCCCACACGCAAACACACAGGAGCAGCCGTGGGAATGCACACGCAGTGTCGTGAGCAGGACGGGTGAGGGCAGCCGGCCAGGTCCAAGGCCTGGACGCCCCAGCCCAATGCGGCCCGGCTGGGAACAGGCCCAGAGACGCTTAGCTGCCAGCTCAGGTGTATCCAGCCCAGGTGGGGGGTGGTTCAGACAGATGCTGTGCAGTCACCAGTGGGGGTGGCAGGGCCGGCTGGCCAGACCACCGAACGGGGCCCCACCTTATAGCGGCTCAAGGAGGTGGGTGCGGGGCCCCCTGGGTGCAGGCAACGCACCTCACAGCAGGGAGAGTATGATGTGGGAACAGACCAGTCATTGCCTGGGCACAGGTGCCAGGCCAATGGGCAGAAGGGGCGGCTGGTGATGCTGTGGCACTGCCTGGGCCTGCGGGCCCATCAAGCACACGGAAGCACACGGTCCCGTGGTGCCCACACTGCTGTCTGCCCCCCATCGCAGCCTCCCCCATCTCCCAGTGCCTTTCTTAAGGCCCCTCTCAAAGACTCGGGGTCCCTGCATCCCCCACACATCTGCCCAACCCCATCATCCTTCCCCGGCCAGCCCAGCCTCATACAAGCCTGCTGGCTGATGCCACTCCTCTCCCCAGGCCGATGCCCCTCCACAGGGTCCCCTTGGATACGGAGGCCCAACGCCAACCCCTGCCATGCCTGACACCCCGCCACCCAGGCACAGGTCCCGGGCAAGTGCCCCTGGACACCATATCTGAAAACCGCAGAGACCCCCGATGTCGGCAACGAAGCCCCGATTCTGGCCGGATCCCGGCTTCCCGGGAAGGTGCTCACCCAGCCCTGGGCCCCACTGCAGGGTGTGGGCTCCGTCCCCAGCAACCCTGGACACTGAAGGAGGAGGCAGCCCTGGTGCTGCCCAGGTCGGCTGTTCGGACCAGCAAGGCCGTTCCCTCGGGCAGCGGTCTGAGCTGGGCAACCAGGTCAGACCCGGAGCAACAGGAGGTGGCTGGGCCAAGCCAGGCACTGGGGAGGTCATTTCCTTCCCCTGGCCGGGGGTCCTGCCTGCAGCCCGCAGCCTGCAGCCCTGTGGCAGGTGGGGCAGCAGGGCGGCCCTGGCGACCCCCTTCCTCCCCCGGTTCCCGGGTCCTCCTGTGTTTGGCGTTTGCTAGAACAAAGGACAGGCCATGCTGGGGAAGGGAGATTCCGAAGCTGAAACCAAAAACTTGGGCCAGGGAAGCGCTGCCCGCTGGACTCCCCGCACGGCCAGCGACAGCCTTAATCAAACCCACATGTGACCAGTACAGTGGGCGGCTCAGGGACCTGCTCTGAGGTGGGCCAGCCGTCCCCCAGTGGCCCAGGGTCCCTGCCCTCAGCCCCCAGGGGCCCGACCCGAGGCTGTCGACCATGGTGGGGGGTGGGCCTGTGCGTGTTCCCCACCCCCACGGCGGAACACGGGCCGCCCTTGTCCCCGAGCCCGCCTCAAAGAGGCCCGTTCATGCAACTTTCCTCCCGGGGACCGAGGACAGCAGGAGACAGCGGGGACAAGGAGGGATGGCGGGCTCCGGAGGGCAGCTGGGTCGGCACAGGAAGCGGCTGGAAAACGGAGAGAAAGTGACCAGTGGCGGGACAGTGAGGGGGCCGCCTCGGCCCCTGACATGCAGCTCTGCGCACCTTGGGAAGACGGTGACACCCTGAGTGCTGGGGCTGACTCCCTCCAGAGCCCCAGGACGCCCAAAGCCCTGGCTCCCATGGGACCCCCAGGGAAGCCGCAGCCTGCTCCCGTCTTGGAGACCCTGGGATGGCCCGGAGGGTTCTGCCGATGTCCAGGCCATGGCCAGGCCCCGGCAAACTTTTCTTGCTCTGACCAACGGGGGCTTCTCCTGTCCCCCACATTGTGCCTGGCCCGGACCTGGTTCGGAACATGGTGGCCTGCGGGAGGCGGGTGGGGCATCTGGGCCGGGCGTGGCAGCAGGGCACTGGGCTACCTGGGTCCCGCCCCAAGTCCCCCCTTGCATGACCTTGAGCCAGCCCCTCATCCACTCTGCACCTCAGTTTCCCGGTCAGCACCCAGAGGACAGGAGACGACTCCATCCCACTGCCCCTCCCGGGGCTGACCCCAGCTCCCCGGCCCCTCAGTCTCCTTTCAAAGCTGGGCCCTTGGCCCCCTGGAGTGAAGCAGATGCTGGGTCCCGAGGGAGGGACACTCCAACTTCCCCAAGTTCATCTGGGGACCTGCGGGCAGGGCGCCCCCACAGATCCCTGGAGGGCCACAGTCCCCCACCTCCGGAGCCAAGGTCCCCAGGGATCCCCACCAAATGCGAAACCTAGGGGCTCCCCAGAGAGGCGGGTGGATCAGGGGTCCTCCAAGTCCAGGCAGGCAACTCAGGGGCTACCCGGCATCGGAGGGTGTCAGAGGGGTTCCCTAAACTCCAGGAGACGTCGGCGCTCTTGGGGATGTGGGACGCGAGTCCCCAAAGTCTGCAGGGCAATGGGGCGCCACGGGGGAGGCAGGTGCGAAAAGGGTGAGTCCCCCAAACTCCGGGGGGCCGAAACTCCCTGGGGGGCTCCCGCGGGAACCAGGCACCAGTATCCCGGCGGCGGCGCGCGTGTAGGGGGCGCCCGGAGCTCGGGGGGCGCGAGGCCAGGCGGGGCGTGGGGGACGTTGGGGGGTCTCCGGGCGCCCCCCGCGCGCGGCCGCGCTCACCTGGGGTTGCTGCGGTTCCAGTAGACGGCGTAGCGGTCTGAGTTGGCGCGGGCGGCGTCCTCGGCGCGCGCGAAGGGCGGCGGCGGCAGCGGTAACAGCAGGAGCAGCAGCGGGAGCAGCGGGCGCTGCGCGGGCGCCATGGCCCCGGTCCGGCCGCCGCGCTCGCTCTCCCGGCCGCCGCCTGCCAGCCGTCTCCGCCTCCTCCGCCGCCGCCGAGCGGGCGGGCGGAGGGCGGGCGGGAGGAGGGCGCGGCGGCGCTTGGAGATCCCCGGCCGCCCCCGCCTCCGCGCGCGCGACCTCGGGCGCCGAGAAGTCAGGCGGCGGCGGGGCGGGGCGCCGGGGTCGCCCCGGGCGCGGGACCCGGCCGCGCGGACTGTAGGAGCGCGGGCTGCCGCCGCCGCACCCGCCGGGGAGGGGCCCGGGCTCCGGCCTTTGTCCCGCCCGAGCGCCGGGAGGGCCGCGGGCGCCCCCTCCCGCCGTGCCCCAGCCGCACGGGGACTGGGCGGGGGTCTCCAGCCTGCGCCCGCCCCCTGCCCCGGCCCACCCCGTCGCAGGCTTATCCCCCGGGGCCTGCCCCAGCGACCCCGATTGTGCGCGCCCCCCGCCGGCATCCGCGTGGCCCGGCCCGCGGTCTCCGAGGAGCGGGGGCGCACCCTGTCTCCCGCGCCCCCAAGTGTTCCTCCCGGCCTGGCCCTGGGTCCCGGGCCTCTCACCTGCGCGGTTCCAGTGCTATCTGCAGCCTCACAAACCCCGACGCACGCGTCCCAAATCGGGCTAGGCCAACTCCAGCCTCCCTGCGGGGGTCTGGGCAGAGTTTCACAGGGGCGCTGGCCAAAGTCCAAAGCTGCTGGTGCTGCGGCCTCCCTGGGGCCCTGGGAGTCGCCTCTCCGGACCGCGCTGTTCCCTAGGGATGGAGTAAGTCCCTACCTCAGCCCTAAGGGTGCCGGGCGCATAGTAGGTGGACCGGTGTGGAGTCTGAGCAGCTGGGGATGGGATCCAAGAAGCCCAGAGTGGAGCCAGTCGTCACGCAGGAATCCTGCAGCAGGGGAGGGCCGCTGCCCGGGGCCACAGCTTATGCAAAGGCCCGGGGTGTAATCTGTTTGGGGAATGCCGAGTGATTTCTCCTCCCGGGAGGCTGACACAGGCGAGGAACTCGGGGCCTGGCCTCTATTTTGTCTTTTTTCCAATCTACAGAGAGAGGGTCTGGCCATGTTGGCCCTGCTGGTCTTGAACTCCTGGGCTCAGGCGATCTTCCCGCCTTGGCCTCCCAAAGTGCTAGGATTACAGGCGTGAGCCACTGCACCTGGCCTGCCCTCTGTTTTTACCCTTATTCATGCCACAGCCTCCCTCACCAGACTCTGAGCTTGTGGAAGGTACGCTGCCACCAAGTGCTGGCTAGACTTTACTGGCGATGCCCAGATCGTGTTGTACCTCTCTGAGTTAGTTTCGTTCGCCAGGCCCAGTGCAGGAGAGGGAACCACAGTGCAGGCGCTGACAGCCCTTGGACCCGAAGGTCCCTGTATGAGGCATTACCCAAACTCCTTGCAGGGACCGTGAGCCCAGAGATGGTCAAGCTAACCTGTGCCCCAGCAAGGTGGGGTGGGGATGGGACCCACCACCGCCCCACAGCGCTGAGATGTGGGCTTTGTCCTGTGTCTCCTGCGGCGTGCCCTCCTCCCCCCACTCCCCAGAAGGCCACACCACCCGACTTTTGTTCGGACCGTGTCCTGTTGGGAAGTCCTTCCACTTTTTCTTCCTGTTAAAATCCTGCTCTTCCAGAAAAGTCTGTCTCACCCAGTGCTCTAGCGTCCCTGCCAGGACAAGGTTCTCAGTTCTCTGAGCTCCAGGTCTCGTCCGCTGACCCCACTACAGACATCCCAGGCTGAAGGCCCAGGGCTGGCCGGGTGTCTCTTCAGTGAAGCGTGGGAACCTGTCCCAGGTGGTGGCTAAGGCAGGCCCTGAGTCACCTGCCAGGCCCTCTGGACAGACTCAGTGCCCCTGGAGTGAGGGCCTGCGGTTCTACCCACACAGGGCTCTGCGGCCCACACAGGCTGGACAAGCGTCCCGGGCAGCTTGGTCTGGTCGGGCTCTTTGAGGGAGGGGGATGGCCACTCCCGGAGACGAGCACCTTCGGAGCAGAGGTGCGGCGGCTGCACCCCAGCACAGGACAAGGAGCCGCGAGCCTGGGGTCTTGGCGTGCCTGGCCCCAGCATGCCACCTGGCAAAGGTGGGAGTTCTGGAAGCTTCCCTCTGCCCTGGGACCAGAAGCCCCCTCCTGCTTCAAGGAATCTCATGGGTGAGCAGGGGTGGGCCAGGGTTGGGAGGAGGGCATCTCTTCTCAAACCAGGACTGGGACCTGCACAGGTGGGAGCTGGAAGGGCACCACCTCCACCCAGGCATGACAGGGCCACTCATTTGCATGCAGGGGCCACCGAGGCGAGAGCCGCCGCCACCGCCACCGCTGAGCGGATTTGAGCAGAAGCTCCGTTTTCCTTCTGTTCTTGTCTCTCTCTCAAGGTCAGAGCCCAAGCAGGGACGGGAACAAAGGCGGTGCGTCCCCCATTCAACCTCCCCACACCCGCTGGCCGCTCCTAGAGGAATGACCTGGGGAGGGAAGGGGAGGGCATGGCGTCTCCGAAGCCTGGCCCCGGGTGAGGCTGCCCTAGCAAAGCCCCGCCCGGCCGGGGGGCCACTGTGGGGGCCCAGGAAGCCCTATTCCCTCCTGGGGCTGGGGGCTATCCCAGCTTTGGGACGCGGCCATGGCCGGAGATCACTCTAGAGTAAGCTTCCTGTGGAGCTGAGGGTCAGAGGTCAGGCTCACGCTGGGGACAGGGGTCAGCCAAGGTCAGGGGTTATCCAGGGTGGCCCTCAGTCCCCGGTCCAGAGCCAGTACAGGGCTTGATGGGGTCTGGCCCCGCCCCCTGCTCTGCACTCCTGGGCCTGGGGTCTACCCGGACTTGGGAAGGGGTAGACTTGTCCAGCCCATGCCCAGCACCCGCTGCCCACTGCCCACAGGGCCAGGCCACAGGGCTTAGGATCAGCGTCCCGCAGCCCCTCAGCCTTCAAAGGCCGAGATGCCAGGAGGAAGCTAAAAATATGCAGGGAGAATTTCTCATTACAGAATAAATTGGACCCAGTCCGCAGCCTGCCCTGGTGCCAGCAGCCTTCAGAAGCCCCATCTCAGCCAGGCAAGGATCAGGCAGCAGGGGTCACCGGAGGCTGGGCAGGTCGTGGGCTCCACTCTGGGCAGGAGCCCGACCCCTGTCCATCGCTCCACCTGTGAAGCACGGAGCTGCGGTCTGCACTTTGCCCCAGGGATCGGGGCGTTTCCCCTGGGCTGGGTCACTGTCCTTGAAAATAAAAACATGGCCGGGCGCAGTGGCTTAAGCCTGTAATCCCAGCACTTTGGGAGGCCGAAACAGGCGGATCACGAGGTCAGGAGATCAAGACCATCCTGGCTAACACAGTGAAATCCCGTCTCTACTAAAAAAATACAAAAACTAGCTGGGCGTGGTGGCGGGCACCTGTAGTCCCAGCTACTCGGGAGGCTGAGGCAGGAGAATGGCGTGAGCTGAGATCCGGCCACTGCACTCCAGCCTGGGCGACTGAGCATCGAGACTCCATCTCAAAAAAAAAAAAAAAAAAAGATGAAAACAAAAAAAAAACGTATCCCTTTCTGCAGCAGGTAACATGAAAATCTCCACCCCAGGCCGGGCGCGGTGGCTCAAGCCTGTAATCCCAGCACTTTGGGAGGCCGAGACAGGCAGATCACGAGGTCAGGAGATCGAGACCATCCTGGCTAACATGGTGAAACCCAGTCTCTACTAAAAAATACAAAAAACTAGCCGGGCGAGGTGGCGGGCGCCTGTAGTCCCAGCTACTCGGGAGGCTGAGGCAGGAGAATGGCGTAAACCCGGGAGGCAGAGCTTGCAGTGAGCTGAGATCTGGCCACCGCACTCCAGCCTGGGTGACAGAGCGAGACTCTGTCTCAAAAAAAAAAAAAAAAAAAAAAAAAAGAAAATCTCCACCCCGTCCAGCCACGGACCCAAGATTCCTGCAACCCCTGCAGCCAGTGGTGGAAAGGAACAGGCACACAGCCCTATTTCCCAGCTCACCCTCCTCCCTAGTTCCCACCCTTCCCACTCTCCTCCCTTCCTCCTCCCCTCCCTCCTCCCTTCACACCCTCCTCCCTCCTTCCCTTCACACCTTTCCCCTCCCTCCTTCCTTTCATACCTTCCCCCCTCCTCCCTCCCTTCTTCCCTCCCTTCTCCCCCCTTCCTTTCTCTCCTTTCCTTCACACTTTCCCCCTCCCTCTTCCCTCCCTCTCCTTCCTCCCCACCCTCCTCCCTAATTCCTTCCCCCTTCATACTATTCTCCCCTCCCTCCTCCCCCTTTCCCACCCTCCTCCCCTCCCTCAATTCCTTCCCCCTTCATACTACCCTCCCCTCCCTCCTCCCCCTTTCCCACCCTCTTCCCCCTTGATACCCCCTCCCTTCCTTCCTCTCTCCTTCTTTTCACACCTTCCTCCCCTTCTCAACCCTTCCCTCCCTCCTCCCCCTCCCTCCTTCCCCCATTCTCTGCACCCTCCTCTCTCTCCTCCTCTTCCTCCTCCCCTTCTCTCTTTCCCGCTTCCCTCCTCCCATCCCTCCTCTCCATTCACATCCTTCTCCTTCCCACTCTCTCCCCTCCCTCCTCCCCTTCCTCCTCCTTCCTCTCTCCCTCATCCCACCTTCAGGTCCAGGACCTGAACACAGACCCATTCTCCAGTGTCCAGACACCACCAGCATCCAGAACTTCCCATACAAAGGAAATGTCCCTGCCCCCACCACTTGCTGTCCAGAGCAGGAGCCTCTGGCTCCCCATGCTGACTGAGGACCTCTCCCCACGGGGACTGAGGACTCAGACCTCTCCTCACAGAGACTGAGGACCCAGACCTCTCCTCACACGGACTGAGGACCCAGACCTCTCCTCACAGAGACTGAGGACCCAGACCTCTTCTCACAGGGACTGAGGACCCAGACCTCTCCCCACGGGGACTGAGGACCCAGACCTCTCCTCACAGAGACTGAGGACCTCCAGACCTCTCACAGAGATTGAGGACCTCTCCCACGGGGACTGAGGACCCAGACCTCTCCTCACAGAGACTGAGGACCCAGACTTCTCCCTACAGAGACTGAGGACCTCTCTCTATGGTGACTGAGGCCCCAGACCTCTCCCCAAGGGGACTGAGACCCCGGACCTTCAGTTTTATGTAACTGAAATGAAGAAACGTGAATAGCCACCTGTGGCTTTGTGTCCCACAGCAAAGCACTGGGTGCTTCTCAGGGTCTGGCTGGCCTTGGACGGGGAGGTCAGTGGCCTCAATGTGGCGGCAGTGGTGGTTCAGGCCCCCCACAGAGGAGATGGGCACCTGGGGGTGAGATCCCTGGAGGTGGGGAATCGAGGGTACGGGGGTCTCAGCACCCTCAGTTGCCTGCCAACCCCCAAGTGACTGATGTGGCGCACGGGGCCGCATCCCTGGGACACCCTCGCACCAGGGCGGCAGAGGAGCCCCGTCTTTGTCTCCCCAGGACGAACGTCGGGCCCGAAGCTGCGGGCACAAGCCAGAGCCACAAGGAACCTGACACATCCAGCCCTCGAGGCCACGTCCCCAGCGCCCACCCATCCCTAGTTCACAGGCAGAGAAGCCGTGCCATGAGTCCACTGGACTCCAGCCTGCGCCGGACCCACTGCTGAGGCAGAGACCCCCGCCCAGAGGCAGGGGTCTGATATGCTGCTTATCCAGTGGGCACACCGAGGGGCAAGGGTGGCGGGCGCGGGTCTGAGATACCCCCTGGCATGGGGTTAGGATCTCAGCACGTCACACCCATGTGTGTGATCGCGCGTCCTGTGGGGCTGCAGACGTCCCATCCGTGGCACTGTGTTACTTATCGTGTGTCTACAAAGCTGTGTTTTGTTGGTGCCTGTGCCTGCACGCGGGAGGAGGAGGATGCCACTGCCCACCCCCTGAACTCCCAGGCACCCGCACACACACGCACTCCCACGGGCACACACGTGTGCGCACACACACAGGCCAAGCACCGGCCAGGACCTGGGGCCTTTCATCTCTCGCTGACAGGCCCCTCTCCGGCTCTTAGCCTGGGAGAACCCCCGACTAACAGTGCATTAACCTTGGGGGGCTGCCAATTACTTGCACCAACACGGGGCGCAGCGCGGCTGACGGGCCCTGACAGGCAGAGGGGATGGAGGCAGCAGCGCTCCTCTCCCTGCCCGAGGGGACAGCGGCGGCCGGGCTGGGGGCTGCGGCATGTTCTGACTCCGGATGGCAGAGCACGGGTCTCTCCTGACCTCATTAGAGTAATTAATGTGCCTTTTGAAGCTGGTGAAAACGCTCAGAGCTGTGGGACGGGGGGCGCAGATCACAGGGTGGGGGCCGGGGCCGGTGTCTCTGTGCCTGTTGAAAGCACGTCCCAGAGGATCAGACACGGAGACAGAGACGGACACAAAGCGAAGGAGGCAGATGGAGAGATGCGAACGGGAGAGTTTGGAGACAGACGCGAGGGCCAGACAGATGGGGAACAGCAGACCCCGGGGCATAGGTGTCACCTGCTTCTCCCCAGTCCCACACATAGTTAGGCCGAGCCAAGCTGCCCTCCCCCGCTGCAGTCTCGGGGGCCTCTCTCGGTCTGTGGCCTCACTTTAAGGGTTACTTCCCCAACCCTCCCTGTAGGATTCCCCTAAAGAACAGGTTGGGGTGGGCAATCAGAGAGGACTTCCTGGAGGCGGCGGCTGAGAGCAGGGTAGAGGAGGACCCGGGGTACTGGAGGGGAAAACGAAACGTGAGCAGTCCTGGCAGGGTCTGGTCAGACGGAGATGCCCAAGGGAGCAGATGGTACCAGGACAGGGGACCCGGGTCTGAGGGGGCGACAGCCCCTCCCAACCCTGGCAGCGGCACAGGCAGGGTCGGCACAAACCTGAGGGACTGCCCATCCCCTGGTGGACGTGGGAACACAGTGGGCTCAGGAAGTGGGGTGACAAATGGGCTGTGCCGGACCGGCTTTCCCACATGAAGGGTTAGGACCAGGGAGACAGCGAGGGGACTGGGCGGCCCAAGGCTGCCACCTGGTGGCGGCTCCAGCTAGGTTGCCTGGGGGAGACCTCAGGCTGTGGGTACCCACCTACCACGGTCTCTCCAAGGCTAAACTCATGGGGGACAGGGGGACAGGCCAGAGCTGGACTCCGCACAGACAGACCCCTGCAGGAAGAACAAGGCCCCAGGGAAGCTGATTAAGCGATTTGCCGGGGATGGGGTCTCAGGCTCCACGTTCTACAGGAGACTGATGGGGGAGGAGTGTCCGGCATGGGGGCCCAGGCCGCGGGGAACTCCAGCCTCCTACAGCACAGCTCTGGGGCTCCCCGGAATCACTGCCAGAGGTATCCGTGAGGGGATGTGGGGATCCTCCAGGGAAGGGCCCATGAGACCCAGGCTGAAGATGGCATAGAGAAGGGCCCTGCAGCA